ATGTCATTTGTTTATCAAGGCTTGTAAATTTGAGAACTTTCATGAATGTTTACGATGTAGTTGAAAGGTGAGTCAAAGCACGTGGAGGGCACAAAGTGTCCGAATTCAAAGTCTGGAGATAAGTAAAGTGAGCGAGTAATATTCAATAATCATTCTAAAATGAATATTGACTGTGATTAGATTGTTATGGTATCAGATTGACGTATGTCCATCTGTACATCTTCAAATGCTGAACTGATGGATTTAACCGTTTTCTTTTGATCTTTCAACATATTTGTTATTATGTATGTTGGCTTCTTCCTGAAAGAAGTACTACTTTTCCCAAGCTAAAATACACAACCACCTGATGAACATTCATGAACTAAGTATAGTTTTCCTCTTGTCTCTTTATATATATATATATATATATATATATATATATATATATATATATATTAAATTAATTGATTTAAAATATGTTTTTTTTCGCTACACACTTCTAACCATGTTTCAAAAATGGAAGCTAAAAGCTTCGAATTTAATTTTGTAATTAAATTAAAAGACATTAGTTCCATTTCATCCTCATAATAAGTTACTCCAAAAATTCCCTTGAGGATGAAATGGAACTAATGTCTTTAATTTAATTACAAAATTAAATTCGAAGCTTTTAGCTTCCATTTTTGAAACATGGTTAGAAATGTGTAGCGAAAAAAAACATATTTTAAATCAATTAATTTATAATATTAATGCTCTGTAAATTTACATTGAGCACTATTTTGTAAAATTAAAATATCGATATATATATATATATATATATATATATATATATTATATATATATATATATATATGTGTGTTTTTATTCACATGTGTGTGTGTTTGTGTATGTTTGTAATTATTATACGGTACATTGGTTTTAACTACAGTTAAAATATTTTGTCATGTAAAGTAAGTATGCATGCCAGGTTTCTTGCGCAGTGTTAGTATAGTTTTTTTCCTTATAGTGGTTAGGATATGTTACGGTGTTGCATAATGGCTAGAGGCTCAGAATAAGAAAGCAGGGAGCCGAGTTCGAATTCCAGCCGTGTTCGATGCATTTCCTTACGCGCAAATACCTTTTTGGAAAGTCAAGAATCTGTTAAATAGTAGGGCTTGTATCTGGAAAAATCATTCCTATCTCCAATAACTTGAAAAAAAAAATTATTTTTACAATCAAAAATATCTCGGCTGTAAATAATTTTCAAAGGGTTGATAAATCCGAAAAACATATCAATCAACGTTATATTTGTTGACTAGGCATTTATCGTTAACAATGCTGAATAAAGGTGTGAAAAAAGTTCAATACCATGCGTCATTAACAAGACGATATGATAAGCTTGGATAGATAGTAAAATATACAATCAGTCAGTTATTTGCCATGCGTGATACACGCTTAGGTGATCATGTATCTTTTGATACATGACTGACGAGGCAGATTTTTTTCCCGCAGTAGGTTGCCATGTCTTTCTGCGGTAGATCAGTTGACATCAAAGGCTATAGAACCCGATCTGTCCTACTATTTACCCATAGCTGGTGGGGGAGAAGAAGAGGATTCATACCTTTCCTAAGGGTATTAGCACGTAAGTGAATGTAATGGATTCGACTGGAATTTGAACTCGGCTATCCAATTCCTCAAACCGAGCCGCTATCCATTACTCCATTGTGCCTCCAAAAAGGTAGTTATTTCTTACATGGCCATCCGTAAACAGTTTGTAGATGATGTAGGCGAGTGGTCTTTAGTGTGAATGAGGTTCTTTGCTTAATTTTAGTAATTCTTCTATCGTGTTACAGTATGGGGTCTGTCTGAAAAGTAACGGGACTGTTCACGTTCTTCGAAGTGAGGAGCATTGTGCACACTTAGTTCTTGTCGCAGAGCCAGCCGATCAGCAAGTCTAAAAAGAGATGCTGCGGTGTTTGCTTTGCTCAGTGCGCGAGAAGAGACGAGAGTTATGACAGGACAAATTGTGGGCGCTTCACCACAACAATGCACCTGTTCACAACGCCCTGAGCATCCGGCAACTCCTGCCCTGGAAGAACATCGCCGTACTAGAACAACTCTCCTATTCAACTGATCTTGCTTCATGTGACTTTTTTCTTTTTCCCAAGTGGAGGCCACCAAGAGAGCCGTAACAATGAAGCTGATTGGTATCCAAGAAGAATCCTACCAGCAGCGCATAGAAGCATGGTAGAGAAGAATGGAAAAGTGCATTAGTCTCGAGGGGAAGATTACTTTGAAGGGGAAACCATGTACTTTGTTGTTTGAAATTAAAATAAATTGTTTGTGACACCAGTCCCGTTACTTTTCAGACAGGCCTCGTATGTTGTAGATTGAAATCACGCCAGGAAGTCAGTGAATTGATGCGGGCATTATTTCTAGTTAAACTAAAAGCAATGGCGACTATATTTTGCTCATGTAAACTACGGAAGACGATTTCAACAAGTCGATATTTTATATTTTTGTTTTTAGATAACTGAGTAAAAAGTTATACACAAGTATGAATGTAAAAGAAGGAACACATTACAAGTTTGGGACTATGTGGATGTGTGAAAGTTCAGTCATTAAGGGGAAAATATTCTCATGCCTATGAATATGGTCACTCCAGCATGCTGGAAAGAAAAAAGAAGATAAAAGAAAGACAGGAAGTGTCCCGTTTTTATAACTGCTTGGCAGCACCCTCTAATGTTTTCATGGCAAAACTCGCCTAGCTATGTGTGGGTAACGCACAATGCATTATTAACAGCAAGAGATTAGATATAATAATGTTTTAAATTCACAGTGTCTATTGTGTTAGAAAGATACAACAGTTAGTGGAGGTGTTACTATGAATGAGTTACTCTGTTCTATTCTTTCGATCACGTTAGTTTTATGTTAATGGCTTGTTTCATTATCATATTACAATTTTGTTCGCTTCTTAATTAGTTAGTTAGCACTACCTTTACGCCGTGTCAACACCTCATAAATAGTGGTCAATTCTGTTTTGATCGCGTTGAAAAACGGAAAAGACATATCAGAGACGCTTATGCAGTCTTTTACGCTTGGATAAGCTCTAGAGAAAGATTTTAAAACCTGGGTATTAAGATGTGCATTTTGATTGGTTACAAATAAATTTCATGGTTTTGGCGCCAAATTATGTTTGTTGCTTGAAATTGTACTCTAGATCATTTTTCTTAATCAAAAATAAAGAATAAACATGATCAATATCCATGCTTTAAAGAAAGGCATTTGATGACTATTAGCATGTAGTAAATTGAGTAAGGCATTTGATGAACATTAGCATGCAGTAAATTGATTAAGGCAATTAATAATTATTAGCATGTAGTAAATTGAGTAAGGCATCTGATGATCATTAGCATGTAGTAAATTGAGTAAGGCATTTAATGATCATTAGCATGTATTAAAATGAGTAAGGCATTTGATGATCATTAGCATGTATTAAATTGAGTAAGGCATTTGATGATCATTAGCATGTAGTAAATTGAGTAAGGCATCTGATGATTATTAGCATGTAGTAAATTGAGTAAGGCATTTGATGATCATTAGCATGTAGTAAATTGAGTAAGGCATTTGATGATCATTAGCATGTAGTAAATTGATTAAGGCATTTGATGATCATTAGCATGTAGCAAATTGAGTAAGGCTTTTGATGATCATTAGCATGTAGTAAATTGATTAAGGCATCTGATGATTATTAGCATGTAGTAAATTGATTAAGGCATCTGATGATTATTAGCATGTAGTAAATTGAGTAAGGCATTTGATGATCATTAGCATGTAGTAAATTGAGTAAGGCATTTGATGATCATTAGCATGTAGTAAATTGATTAAGGCATCTGATGATTATTAGCATGTAGTAAATTGAGTAAGGCATTTAATGATCATTAGCATGTAGTAAATTGAGTAAGGCATCTGATGATCATTAGCATGTAGTAAATTGAGTAAGGCATTTGATGATCATTAGCATGTAGTAAATTGATTAAGGCATCTGATGATTATTAGCATGTAGTAAATTGAGTAAGGCATTTAATGATCATTAGCATGTAGTAAATTGAGTAAGGCATCTGATGATTATTAGCATGTAGTAAATTGAGTAAGGCATTTGATGATCATTAAGACAAGATATTGGATAGCGCCAGATCTAGACTGTTGGTTGGGCAGATACTGATGATGATTATTTTAAAAATATATCTGCAGAGGAAAATAGGCAGAAGATATAAGATTGGATACCTTCTAAACAGTGTGTGGACTCGCAGATCTTCTCATTCTTGACAATGACTGATTTCCTTTGCAACATTTTGGATGTTCTGTTTGTTTAGAACGTTGTCACTTTCAAATGGGTTGACGACCAAGTTTGAAGCATCAAAAAACTTATCTGGGCGTTACTCACTGAATTACCCCCGAAAGCCTTCTTAATCATCCGAATAATGAATATTATCTGCGAGGACGATGATTACACAATATACCAGCTCACTCGATAACGTTTCACTGTTGCTTGAGTTACCCCTTTGGAGAGTGACTGCTCACGCATACCAAACAAGGACTCCTCTTATTAGTTACGAAGTTACATCAAGGTTGTGCAAATGGTTGTCTAGATGCTTAAAATTGTTGGAACGTTTTTGGGACGGAACACGGATTCCAGATTCACCTAAGAAAGAAAGAAAGAAAGAAAGTGTTGTGACCAAGAAAATGGTTAAAGAAATAACAAAACAAGTGTTGCAGATATATCATATATTAAACAGTAAGTACGACAGAAGAGTTTTACACGACTAATGAGTGTGTGTCGGTTGACCCAGCGTTCAATCTATTCGACTGTTCCCCCAGGGCCTTCTCTCCTATTAATCTTATAGTAGGCGGAAGAGTCCAACATAGACTCTTTAGAGGGAGGACACCACAACAGAAAGAAAGGAAGAAAGAAAGAAAGAACTGAACATAGCTAGCTAGCTAGACAGATAGATACGAATAGACGAAAAAACAAAGAAAGAAACTGAACAGAAAGAGATAGATAGATAGATAGATAGATAGATAGATAAAGAAGAAAGATATTGAACAGAGATATATAGATAGACAGGTATTAATAGAAAGAAAGAAAGAAAGAAAGGACATCGTGAAATGTAATTAGATTATCAACCTTCTTTCTGATTCCTACGAACCCATCCTTTGACAAACATTTCCCAACAAAACATTAGTGAGGTTTACATAATTGTTAATCGGCTGCTCCTAAGAATCGGTCGTTTTTTTTTGTTTTTTGTTTTTTGTTTTTTGTTTTTTATTTGAGGCAAGAGTAAATTTGTCCCAATGAAACAATTAGATTAGGAATACAAGAAAAAAAAATGAACAGAAAAACGAATAAAAAGCACATATCATCCATGAATCATAATGAATTTTGGGTGTCCCCCTAGTTACTAACAAGGGTCTGACGCCAGAAACTAAAATGGGATTAGCAAAAGGCTTTATTGAACAAGCTATCAAATAATTTTTCCAATAACTGCAAAGTTTGGATGGATACTTTTGTTTATTTTATAATTTCCATTCACGCTGATGTCGTTTCCAACCATATTGGACGAACGACGAACCGCTCTCGGTGAAGTGATAATCAATTTGTTCGCACATGCGTGCGTGAGTAGTGTTTTGATGCAAAGAAACAGATCAGAATATATATATATATATATATATATATACACACACACACAGAGAGATAGAAAGAGAGAGAGTAGTGGACAGCAGACAGACAGATATGAATAGACAGAAATAGAAAAAAAGAGAGAAATTGAAGATAGATAGATAGATAGATAGATAGATAGAGTTTTTAAAATCATTACACCCTATAGCAAGGCGATAAAACGCAAGGTGTTAATGTGAATGAAAGAAACAGGTATTAAGAGAACAGGCATTAAGAAGAGAGAAGACAGTGATTGACGTTGTATTTACATTTTGGAAGATCAACGTTGACTGGGGAGCAAGAAGTCGAAAGAGAGTTCCACAAGCGAAAAGTGAGAGAGAAAAAAAATTTTAGCATAGAACCTACGGTTGCATCTGATCATTTCAACTGTAAAATGATGAGACCTTTCCTCAGTCACGGGTATGCTTGTGCTCGGCAGTGTGAGTGCAATGAACAAAAACTGCAAAACTTGAAAATAACTGTTTAACAGCTTTTATTTGGTTGAAAAAGGAGTTCAAAATAGTAATTTGTAGGGGAAAAGGGAGTTTTCCTAGTTAACAATGTTCTAGAGAATGTAGTAGTTTTTTTCTTGAGAAAGAATTCTCCGCAAGTTCTCACGGGAGGAACAAGAAATCCAAGTGTGAAATCCAAGTGCTAAAACAGACGTCGTCTTCGCAGTAAGGGTTGTATGCAGTTTCCTTTGGTGAGTGTTTTGAAGGGAGATTTCTCCGCCTATTCCTGCGGGTGGAACGAGAAATCTATCGTCAATCAGCCCAGACCGATCTCTTTTTATGCATCAAGGATTGCGTGTACTCCTTCTGTAGGAGTCTCGAGGGGAAAGACCGTTGAAAGTGAGAAAATGGAAAAGAGAGCTGGCCAAGATAGAAGCCGCCGAAATGGAAAATGAAAAAGATTGAGACAGCCGACCATGGATCTAGAAGTAGCTGAAATTGAACGAAAAAGAGGCCGAATAGGGCTCGGTCAAAGCTTTTATAACCTTAGGGACTTCTGATTGTACCCTACTGATTATTTCCGCTGTTGCTGAATTGAGCAAAGTAAGAAAGCCTATATATGCCACGATAGCCAACAAGTGAAATAGTTTTTATACAATTACCATGAAATTATCTATAGAAAAGGCACAGTGAAGTAACATTTCGGCGGTAGGAAGCCACTAAAGCTGATATGCAAGATCAGAACCGATAACGATACATATTCTTCTTTGGACTCTGTCAGGAATCTCTAGATATATAGCACAAGTACTAGGCCAGATGTTGCAGCAATATTCAATGCACAGACGAATGGTAGTATGGAATATAAAAAGTTGTGTGTTGGTGTATTGTATGTGTGTGCGTGTTCACATGTAAAAACTGAGTTCCTCTTTCGGTGACAACATACAGGGGAACTCTAAATCGGTTTATCTATACATTTAGAAACGACATGGCCACTATTGTAGTTACAGTGTCTTGCATGGGCGTTGCTTCAGTCCATCGGGTAGCTCTGTCTATGCCAGCAATGAATATGTGTTGTCGCGATTGATGGTTAGTGGCAAAGGTCCCACAACCAATATGTACGGTTCGAATCGTGTAGAGGGTTGTAGGAATGGAACTACCCCTGATTTTTTTTGACAATTAGATTTGTTGACAATTTTGTCATTCTTTGGTCCATGAACATAGCGGGATTTGATCAATTTTACTGTTGATCCTGAATGTGACATATATTATGGAAGATATCTTTGATCACCTTGCACGATACTTGTGGGGTAAATGGTCTTATGTAAGGTGTGGAAATGTAGAAACAGCAGACTAGTGGACTTAGTTACCAAATTCTATCTACTGGGTATGCACGTCGAAGGATTCATATACCAAATAGCAATTAACCACAGCGACGTCCTCCCAGAAAGTGTACATCATTTTTTCCGAGATCTGCCAACTCTACTTACACCAAGAACGAAGATACCTAATCCAGCTCTGTCAAAAGTTAGGCATAGCATTGATACATTGCTAAAATGAGGCAGTTGTATAAAGAAAAACTTAAAATTGCAAAGGAGGAATTTACAGTGCTACCGCAAGCAGGAGTCATAAAACAGTCAAAATCACCCTGGTCGTCACTCCTACATATGATTCCATGGACAGTGGCGAGCCTGTGAAGACTACAGGAATTTAAATATACTAAACAAGTCCGACAGATATCCGGTACCAAACATCAACAGTCTTTCCTCTAAATTAGGCAAGAATCTTTTTTTCTTCCCCAAAATTGACCTTTTACAAGCCTACCACCAAATACCAACGCAAGAAGTTATAGAGAGAACAGCTGTGGTAACACCGTTTGTGCTTTTTGCGTATTTATATATGCCTTTTGACCCATAGAATGCTACAGCCACGTTTCAAAGATTTATATATAATATATTTCTGTAGGTCAACTGCGTTTTTCTCTATATGTTTCTGTTGTTTGTCCGACTTAATTGGCGTCGTTTTATGGAAGGCTAATGTTAGCAGTTTATGGTCAATGAATATGGTAACATGTCTGCTTGTGGTTTGATGCTTCTCCATAGAACTGGATACCTTGTTCATTGGCTGAGAATAAGTGAACGGGAGTTGGGTTTAGGTAGAGTCTGTTGGCATTGTTCCTGAATAGTATGGTCACTGAAGTACCTGTATCATTCAGGAACTTCAGCTTGTCGTTTTGTCGTGAGTTTCAACCTCAAAAATTGGTGAGTCAATGGTTATAATGGTAACTCGTCCTAATTATTTACCAATCCGAACTCTTCGTTTGACATGGGTCCTATGACTGTTGATGTCGACCTGGAGTTTGGCTGTATTTAACAGGCACATTTATTTGTCCACTGGTACCATGTCTTGTATGTTTTGGATTTTTTCCAAAATAGAGGTTTTCGTAAAATGGACGAACTCCAAAGTGTGTTTCAGTTTTGGTGCTTGCTGTCGGTCCGGTTTACCTTCTGTAGTGTTCAGAGTATGTGGTGTTTTGGACCAGATGCGTGTTCATAAATGGAATCAAATCGTCGGCTATGGTACCCAGTTCCCCGAACATTAAGTTTCTGTCAGTAGTTGTGTTATTGTGGGAGGCAGGGCTTGTGTGAAACGGTGTCTCTCCAAGTCTTCTCCCACTCTTACAGAGGCCCAGTTCTACTTACAAAAAATAACACCGAAATAAAATTTTATAATTTGCTTTCGGCCCTGCCACCGGGACTGGTAATGAAAACCCAGGCGTCCATTTTAACAGAAACAAATTATGAAGACCTGAAAGGAGCTGGCATCACAAGCCACGAGGAACGAAACTGGAGCTTTTTGACAAGTTAATAAATGATACGAAGATGACAGGCAGGCCCATTCACTACCTGAGAGTGTTAATAGCAACAACCATTTTTTGTAAGCAGAACTGGGCCTCAATAATAGCAAACCATCCGGTAGCGGCCGTTTCCATAAATGCTGGTATTTTGATACCGGCCATTGCTGCTGTATCCATTTCATTTATTTTGTGGCGAGGATGGAAGTTGAAATATTTCATGATATTTTTTTTTGTGGGGGGGAGGTTGCACACATGGTAAATAAAGCATTCAATTTTATTATATACGTAGTGAATTAAGCATTCTGTATTTATTAAATATATACACGTGGTGAACTATGCATTCAACGTTTTTATACACGCGGTGAATTCAGCAGTCAGTAAATTTTTATACACGTAGTGAATTAAGCAGTTAATATTTTTCCCTCTTTTAGGCGTCGGGTTTAGAACTTATAGAATTTAAAGTTTACGCTTTGGTGTATTGTATGTGGGTGCGTGTTCATGTGTAAACAATTAAAAAAACGTTAAAAAATTTCTACTACGAATCGTTTATTTTTTTCTACTTTGAAGTTGTAGGGAAATAAAGTTCTGAATATCCCTTGGGTATGTCTCATTTTATTTTTCTTGTCTAGATGTAAATTAGAATAAGTAAGGATAAGAATGGTTATAAGGGTCGAGCTCATGTCAGCTTTGCGCTGAGTTGGAACGACCAAAGTACTTCATGAGTACAAGATACAAGGCACTTCCGAACGCTTTGCGTTGGAAAGTAGGAAGAGAAAGGTTCTGTCCTTACCCAAAGTAGGGTGATAAATTTGCACAAATTACCAACAAACCTTTCTGGTTCTTTTATTATTTGCATCATGGGAAAATGTATATATTTTTTCTTTTTCATTCTTTATTATCTTATTGATTTTATTTCATTTTCCCACCTATAAATGTGCTGGTGACAAAGACTGTCTAGCACGACAAAGTGAATGAACTTTTTTGGAAACCAACCCAGCGATTGATTCAATATAATCATTCCACTTCATTTCAGTCAGGGAAAAACATGAGATGGTGGGTAATCGAATGGCAAAATGAAAATAAAAGGTATCTGTCTATATTTTTGAGATGAGCTATTATGTACACTATTTACATTATT